AGCTTTTTACTAAGCTTAAAATGAAGCTTTGTGTTTGAAAGTTATAACAAGCCTAGATGAAGATGGTGGTTGTACATTATTCATTTAGAAAATACAAAACTTCGTTTTGTTTTGAAGCTAGGTATTAATTGGAATAGCTATTATACCTGAGAGTAGGGCAGCTGTGCCCTTCCTTTGACATTCCTTTGTTGTTTAATTCTTTAGAATCTTGGTTTTTTTAATCCTGAGAGATTAAGCAGTAGACTTGTTAAGAAAAAAAATGAAACTGTAACCAAAATTTTTAAATAAAGGTTTTTTTAAAAAAAAATTAAAAATTAAAAAAAAAAAATAAATGCTTCTGTTTTTCTGCAATTCGGGGATCAAACCCAGGGCCTTTGCACTGAGCTGCATTCCTGGCCCCTTTTAATTTTTCATTTTGAAACAAGGTCTCATTAAGTGGCCCCAATGGAGCTTGAGCTTGTGGTCTTCCTGTCTCACCCTCAATCAATGCTTTTATTAAAAAAAAATCAATTTGGAATTGGGTAACAAAAATGTATTGAGCAACTAGTATGTTTCCTGAACACGCCTCCAAAGAGACACATCCCAACGTTCATCAACCAGCAAGAAAGGGTGATTGTGTTTCCAAAATCATTCAACAGTACCCACTGCCCTCGGTTCTCACTGCCCTCCATGTCTTTGTCCACATGTCAGCCTCAGCCTCAGCACCAGCAGGCCCTCGGGTGTTAAGTGAATAATGGCGTGAAGTGTGAGTGTTCCAAAGCTGTTAGTTCTCTAGTGAGAAATGGGAATGGCAGGAAGATGTGTGGAAGGCTGGAAAGCAGAGGCCAGTCGCAGAGCGGGGAAAGTTCTCAGAAAGTCCTGCATGCTTTCACAAGGAAGAAGCAGCAGCAAGTTTTTTAAGAAATACCCACTGGGATACAATGATTTTCAAATTGTGAACACCACTCAGATAACCCAAATTCTCCATGGTTTTTTGTGGGAAAATTGTAAAAACTATAAATATGCCTTTAAATCCACTATTCACCAAGTCGAAGAACCAAAGTTCTAGAAGGGAACTTTATGACATTTTATTGGTGTTCATCTCATTCATTTATTTTTAGTTTTCCATTGATCAGTCATACAGCAGATTTTTAATAGATATTGTTTATTCAAATGCCACTCGCTAGCATTTACAGAGGCACTGACTCAGATGTTTTTCAAAAAATTACTTTCTCATCCCCCACTATGATAACCACTTAAATACTGTGGTAAAAAAATTAACTTTTTATATTGTAGATGTAGCCTTCTTTCCACCAAACAGTATGTGATTCAGTAAGGATGCTTAGATTCTAAGTACTGTGTGAAATCCAGTGATTTAAAAACTTGCTCAATGATACAAGTAATGATTGTTCACTACTAGAACATTTACATTATAAATGTCTTCTTTGGGTAGAAAGAATAACAGTCATAGGAAAAGGGTATATAAGTAGAAGTGTAGGTGAGTAATTAACATTATTAATATGTGATATTTATTGGGTAATTTCTACATTTACAATGCCAGGCTAAGAGTTGTGTCTCATTTAATTCACAGGAAGTCTGGGTACTATTATTATCCATATTTTTTCAATAAAAAGTTGAGGCTTAAAAGGCTGAGAAGTCTTCCCAACATCCTGCAGTCATTAAGGAGAAGCTGAATGCAGACATGAGACCTAAGCACCAATGACAGCCCCTTGCATAGATATAAAAATCACTGAGGATGTGAGATTCTGGTTTTTACTTCTGACTGCGTCTCCAAAAGCTAGAGGTCACCTGATCATCAGGAACTTTAGAGTGAGGTTTAAAATTATTCATATTTTCCCTTAGAATCATTTAGCAAAATGAGTATAGGGAATTTTTGTTACAGGCTAGGACTATGTGTCCACACAAAATTATTGTATCCATTTCCCGCATTTCCTGAGTAGTTTGGGGACAAGATTTTGGACTTGTAAGTATGGAATACACATAGCACAAAATCATTGTTATTCTTCCTTTTTATACTTCCAAGCATCAATGCTGATGCGTCCTCAATACTAGAGGAAAAGAACGTCAAAATCAGACTGTGATATGAAATGACTGTGGGTTCGCGGTCAGACATGCACCTGAGCCCTAGATCCGCTACTTAGTACCAATGAACCCCTAAATAAAGCACTTAACTTCCAGAGCTTCCATTCCATTTTCTACAAAAGAATAGCACTCCCTGGTCAACGTGACCCAGAGGAATCCATATGATAATATACACGGAGTCCAGGTAAAATGCAAAGCACTGTTAGCGTATAATTAGCTTTGGATATCTTTGATAAAGTATGAAAGTAACAAGGGAGAAAGGTACTTTGTACTGCACAGTGTTAGTCCTCACAGCCCGCAGCCGGGTTTAACTAACTAAACAGGAGAAACGGAAATCGTCATACACTAGAAGCAAAGAAAATCAAAGCTCGGAAGAACTCCTGAAGCAAGGAAAGCTCCCTGCGGATCGCCCAGCAGAGAGGCCCGGCACACAGCAAGGCAACTGCTGGCGTGGTCTCGTGGCATTCGTGAGCAGACTCTGCGCGGCCAAAGAACACCGACCGCCACGCACTCAGCCCACCAGCCACATTCTCCCCTGGCCGTCTGTGCTTTTCACCAGTTCTCACAGAATCTAGGTGCCAAGGAGGCAGAATCGCATAAATATCAGTGAGATAAAGGAAGACCACAGATTGCTGCAGAGTCCCCAGCGCCCCCTGGTTGTTCAAAACCTGCAGATTCTGTGAGATGTGCCAGGAGCCTCCGAGGACCTCCCCCTGGGCCTCGAAGCTGCAGAGCCTTTAATCCACAATGAGCTTAGCCCAGTTCAGCTGTGAGACGCAAAGGCTGCCAAACCAGCGACCTGGAGAGAGAGGAAGCCTCCTGTGGGAGCCCCTGATCACAGACAGAGAGGCCTGAAGAGCCAGGGCCTGAGGAGGGGGCAGCAGGCCTCAGTGTCGTTCCTCGGAATGAAGAAAGCCAGCTCTGTATTTGCGGAGCAAATTTCTCATCAATAACGAAAAAAGAAGGCTTATGATTAAAGAGGAAAATGTAAAGAAGTACTTAGCAGTGCGTTTCCGTAGCCCTGCGACAACCGGTCTTAAATACTTCTTGAGCATTAGTAAGTGAGCAAAGAAGTTGATTGTTAAAACTTCAAAATTTCCCCCAATTTATGGTTATGAAGTTACCTAATTTTTTTCTCCTATAAGACTTTCAAAAATGGAAGATGAACCAAATCCATAGTGTTCTAACTTGTTCAGAACAATAATAGCCCTTCATTATAATTATTTAAAAACTTTAGAATCTTAGAGTCATACATTGAAGACCATGGATAGACAAACCACATTTATTCATTGCCAAGTGAATTTCTATGGAGGAATTCCATTGGAAGAGTCAGGAAATTTAAAGCCTTTTTAATCACAATCCTCCAGAAGCAGATGCTGCTGGGGGGGGAATAATATTTTCAAACATTTTGTGAAAACAAGTTTAGTAGCTAATGTCACTGATATTCCCAAGCAGTCCTCCGAGACTTGCCATAGACAAATCATTGATTTTTACATTTATCATTTTGAGGCTTCTGTCATCACTTCCAGGTGTCTTTGTGGAATCCACTCATACCTGAGAATGATTTCAAGGATATTCTAAATAATTAACCTTCTCACATCGTAGTTCAAGAGTCTCTATGATAAAGCACTTGAACACCTCAAAAGTGTAATTACAGGCATACCCTTGAGAGTTGGGATATATCACATTCCCAAAATGAGTGTGGATATTAAACTGATATAGCACAATTAGTTATTATGAATTTTCTCCATTACCTGGCCTGCTGGATTGTGTCGATGATATATAGCTTGGCTTAGAGGAATCCATATAATTTCTGATCGCCGCTCTATCCTCAGCCTTGGATTTATTGCAGTTTTTCAAAGACAAAGACATCAAAACTATTCTGACTTCCCTTTTTCTTCTCTCCCACTGTTGAAGCAGTCATGTGTTAATATAAAGCCTCATTTAAAGTGATCTTCTTTTATGTAAATAAGAGATTATTCTTGAAGGAGAAATAATCCATTAGTCAAAATTATAAAAGATTTCATGCAGGCCAAGAACTCATTCAACTATGATTAACTTATAAGTGTATATAGGTTTAATTAGCCTTAAAATTGTAGTTTTTAATGTGCATAATAACCAATCTTGAGTATTTGGCATTACTCCAAATACCTTAGATCCCCAAGAAAATCTCCTTCACAAAAAGTTATTCTGACTTCAATCTCAAAACTTTAATAGGTTGCTCCTAAAATGCAAAAGGACAATTTTACATTCTTTTTATCAACACATTAATGTAGCATTGAGAATATTTTCTAAAATTTTATTCTACTAGAATCACCAGAAAGATGATTCCAATAGATGTCAAGACCACCCCAGAAGAGTGGAAATCTTAATATCCTCCACCTCCAGCACCAATACATAAAATATTTAGTCTGAAGATTTTAAGAAAACAGACCTCTAGTAAATAATGAAGTTTACTTGGAGTTTTTAAATATGTCTAAAATTTTTGACTGGAGCAAATACACTGTCATACTTTTATTTATGGTAGAAAATACAAATGTGAGCAGTGTGTGTGGTTCATAGGCACAAAATGTAACAATTCTCCTTAAACCTTTCAACAGCTTTTCTTGTAATGCTGAGTCATGATCAAAAGCCTCCACCCTGCCTCTGAAACCCTGCACCATCCAGACCGCCATGGTCACTGACCTCCGGTGCTAGCTACTCTCTTCACTCCTCTCCCCAGTTCTGGTCTCCTCACTGCTCTTCAAAGCCTTCCTCCATTCTATTCCCTCTCTTCGGCAGGTCTTCCTTACTTCCTTCAGATCTTTATTCCAATGTCATCTTTTCTAAAAAATAAAAATAAGTAAGAAAAGAATAGCACTGTTACACAGACACACACACACACACAAAGTCCTTCTACTGTAGTCTCTATCCTATATTTTTGTTCATTTTAAGGCACTTCATAACTTCCTGTTTGCCTACTATATGTCCCCTACCCATAGAATGCACAATTTATGGAGAAATTTTAGCTTATTAATTCTTGTATACTCAAAGTTTAATATAGTACCTACCACTCACTATTTTTTCAATAACATGTTTTAGAAAAAAATAAATTAATAAATAAATGAACACAGTTTTTAAAATCAAACACAAATACTGCTTTTCATGCCTGGTATATGGTATTAAAAGTGTCTAAAATTTTTCTTTGTTTTCTTCTCTTAAGAAGACGCTTCAACTTGCCTATAATCTTTTTCACTATAAATTTTTGTTTTAATTGTAACTCTAAGAAAGACATAAGAACCAAAATCTGGAAAACACCATAACCCTGGCCATTCATAATAAACTAATCTAAACAGGAGCACATAGATCAAAACAAGAAGATTGGAAGCCGTTTCATAGATGACCGTCACTCTTCCAGTGACTCCTGGCCTTCAGCACTGAAAGAGAGGTGGGTACAAGGGGTGAGGGTGAGGGAAAAAGAGAGGGAAGGGACTGAAAGGACAAACCCTGGGTGCAGCCCGAAGGGTCACCTCTTGGCCCCTGTCCTGTCTCCTGTACTTAGTTTTGTGCTTTCCTACCTTGGACTCTGCAAAGATGCATTACGGGGCACTTCAGCCCTGAGCAGCCTTGCAGTATGTGCATCCTTGTAAACGAAGGCAGCAGTGACTAATTATGGGGATCCTGGCCACTCTGCGATGTTGAGCACAATAATCAGCATCTTTCCGTGAATGTAATGTTCCTTGAGAAGTGTTCATCCTGAGCATGCGCAAAATGGAGTTTAATTTCTAACATTTCCTCCCTGGTTTCACCTTTACTGGCTTGTTCCAGTGCTTCTCCGGGATAGGATAGAGCACTCAAATGCATGAGCGGGTGGATCTAATCCAGACCTGTTCTGCAATCACATCCCTTAGCACGGCACTCCATCTCCGGTGCCCGAGAGTCTGTGTTGGTCGATGGTTCAGGCAGGAGGGACGCAGGGCCCCAAGCTGGTGATCGGAAGCAGACCTGCTGTGTGGAGCCCAGACAGCAAGTAAGGAGAGCCAGGCACCGAGACTACTCACCTGCATCAGCCCACGTAGTCCAAATAGCCGAACACAGCGTGTTATTTCCATGAAGCAGTTTGGAGTAATACATCAAGTAATTATTAGTTGTGGTGTGAAAAGAAGAAAAACAAATTGCTGAGCAAATAAGCAGAGAATGGTGGTTGAGAGTGTTGTTCAGGAAGCGCCGTCAGGGTGACCTCTCTGAAGACGTAGCCGGTAGGCTGCAGCCACAGAGAAGGGCTCGGTGGATTCACTTAGGAGAGCTGCAGGGGAAGAGCGAGAGAAAAAACGGGCGAAGTCTGCCCCCAGGAGGAACTTGGCTCATGTGAAGATGAAGGTGACCTAAAATATCAGGAGCATGTTGAGCACGAGGAAGAAGTGGCCGGCAGGCAGGGGCTGGTCATTCAGGGCTCTTTTGGCTATGACCAGACATCAGGGCACAACTTTGAAGCCAGCAGAAGGCCACGGTGGACTTGTGTCAGGAATAACCCTCCGGCTGCAGTGTGGAGACTGAGTGGGGCAGGGCCAAGCATCACTAAAGGAGGAACCGCTGTCCTCCTAGGGAGAAAGGGCTTGGCCAGGAAGAAGGTGCTGCAGACTGTCCCCTTTCTATGTGAGACCCAGCCCCCAGCGGGATGGGGTCAGGAGGAGGGAATCTTTGGGAGGAAATTAGGTCATAAAGGTGGACTTGATAAATGAGATGGATGCCCTCATTAAGGAGACTCCGGAGAGGCCCAGCCCCTGTCGCCATGGAAACTCCTTGCAAGAAGACTCCAGTCGGCAGCCCAGAAGAGCACTTCCCCAGACAACCCTGCTGATGCCTGGGCCTTCCACTCCCAAGATTTCCAGAGCTGTGAGAAATAAACTCCTCTCGTTCTGGATGAAGACAGAGGATATGTCAGCAACGTCTAAGAAAAGAAGATGGTCACGTGGGAGACATACTAGCTGGGAGCACTGGCAGGGCGACATGGTAGATGGATGTCAGGTGTCAGGGCAGGGAGCTATCCAGGACGGCACTTCTGCCTCTGAACTGAGCGACTGAGAGGCTGATAGGAGTGGGTTGCTGAGAGAGGGAAGACTGGCTAGGGGTGTGAAGGAGATGATGATATAGCTAAGGGGAAAATCAGAACTCTTCCAATGTGTGAGAACTGGAGAAGCCTCCGCGTGTGGCTGCTGGTGGACAGCCGAGTGCCGCCGGGCGTCCACTCTGGCGCTGTCTCCAGACCCGCTGTTCACCGGGAGAGAGGGCAGAGCAGCGCGGGAGGGGCTTTCCTTCGTCAAGGGGATGTCCTGGCTTTCCAGGCCTCTTTCTTCTGCCTCAAGAGAACTAAAGCGAAAAAGGCGAAAGAATCTGGAACCATGACAAGCACATTCTCTCTCTCTCTCCCTCTCTCCCTCCCTCTCTCCCTCTCTCCCTCCCTCTCTC